AGGCTAATGATTTATGTTGATTGCATTATCGGCTGCTGCTCCGAACATACTCCCCGCGTTGAAAGGTCAGGGCTTTCAACAGTATCGTTTACTGGAAGGACGCACAGCTTGTTCACTGCTCGACGGGTTGTTCCACTAGACGTGCGTAAAACTGCCACTCGTACTACACCATCAGCTCCAGGGATAACCTCGATTACACGGGCCAGGGGCCACTTCAGAGGCGGTGAGTTTTCGTCCTTGACGCATACGATATCGTTCACTTGAATGCTGGCCTGAGGTGTGCGCCACTTCGCTCGTTGCTAGAGGAGAGTGAGATATTCTCGACTCCACCGATTCCAGAAAATTTGGTGCACGTGAGCTGCGCGCTGCCATCGGTCAAGACGATTACAATTTAAATGTCTCAGGTCAGGTTCAGGTAGAGCTATTAGGGGACCACCAATCAGGAAATGCCCTGGCGTCAAGACGTCTAAATCCTCTGGATTTTCTGAAAGTGGTACAAGAGGACGAGAATTAATAACAGCAGCGATTTGACATACCAGAGTGCGCAATTCGTCAAAGCCAAGAAGTGAAGAGCCAACCGAACGATGCTTAGCTGTTTTTACGGCTGCTTCCCACAAGCCGCCGAAGTGCGGCGAGCGGGGCGGGATGAATCGCCAATCAAACCCATTGTTGAGACAGTGGTTATGGACCTCGCTGCGATGCTCCTCGCTTAAAAATAGGCGTCGCAAATCACTCAACTCGTTTCTTGCGCCTACGAAGTTGGTTGCATTATCTGACCAAATGCAGCTGGGTACGCCACGAGTAGCAACAAATCTCTTTAGAGCGTCGATAAAGGCGCTGGTCGATAAGTCCTTCACTAACTCCATCCAGACGGCTTTTGTTGCGAAGCAGATAAAAACGCTAACGTAACATTTTTGAGGGGACTTGTTACGCATTTCTGGCTTATAATAGAACGGCCCACAATAGTCTACACCAGTGACAATAAAGGCGCGTGAGGCCGCAATGCGATCCTTAGGCAAGTCAGCCATGATGTGCTCGACGAGTCGCGGTCTCGATTTACAACATATAATGCATTTACCGAGGGCGTGGGCGACAGTTTTTCTGCCACCTATGGGCCAGTATTGCAAGCGAATGGCTGCAAGTAGTGACTGCGGCCCTACATGATGATGCTTGTGATGAAAATGTGCAATTATGGAGAACGTCAGCGGATGATTCTTTGGTAGAATACACGGGTGACGCGCTTCAAAGCCAAGAGGTGAATGCCTCAGGCGACCGCCAACTCGAATCAGACCGATGTCATCTAAAAATGGTGATAATGAAGAGATGCTGCTAGATGATGAGACACACCTCTTATTTTTCAGAGCGACGTAATCTGACCAAAGCTGCGCTCTCTGAACGATGCGAATTAACAACTGAACCCCATGATGAATGTCCCGAGACGTGAGCTGCGACGTCCTTGGCAATTTTTTTATATTGATAAATTTGCTTACGTAACCAAAAATACGCTGCATTTTGCCAAACGAGTTGATGTACTTAAATGAAAGAGATACGTCGGGTCGATCATTTGATGTGAGTAATACCTTTTGACGAGTTTCCAAAAGCTTGGTTTGTGGTTCGCGAAATTCAGGCCAGCTGATTTCTGCTTTGTGCAAGAATATTGGACCGTGCATCCAAAGAGCTGATTGCAAGAGCTCTCTTGGTGCGGCCCCTTTGGATAGGATGTCTGCTGGGTTCATGGCTGTAGGAACATAGTGCCAAGTCATCCCCTGTGTAAGCTCCTGTATAGCACATATTCGATTAGCGACGAAAACGTTAAATTTTGAAGATTCTTCCTGCAGCCATGATAGAACGATCGACGAATCTGACCAACAATAGAAGCGGCAGTCAAAAACCTTCATCTTGGCTATCTCACCTACTAACTGCGCAAGCAGAGCGGCAGCGCTGAGTTCCAACTTGGGCACAGTCAGAGTTTTCAGTGGAGCAACGCGTGCCTTTGAACATAGCAACTGTAATTGGACGTTGTTATCCTTAGTTGAGCGAGCATATACACAAGCGCCATATGCTTCAAGGCTAGCGTCGCAAAACGCATGAATTTCAAGCGCGGCTCCAGGCTGTAATACATAGCGCGGAAATGACGAATGTTGAATGTTGACGAAATCTTCACAAAACGTAGAACAGGCTGTATCCAGTGAATGGGGCAAGCTTTCATCCCACGCGAGCTTATCCCTCCACATTCGCTGTAAAAGAATTTTCGCCCTTGTCAGAGTGGGGCCTAGTAGGCCAAGTGGATCGTAAAAACGAGCTATGGTAGCTAATACAGAGCGTTTGGAATTTCTGCCAGATCTGATCGGCGAAAACGAAAACAACAGAGTGTCTTTGAACGGATCCCAGACTAGTCCCAGAGCCTTGGTGATATCACTGCCGTCATCGAATTTGAGAAAGCTTTCTCTTTCTGTTTGGGGAATATCGCCGAGAACATCAGGGCTGTTGGAGCACCATTTCCGTAATTGGAAATTACCTCGAGAAAGAAGACCTGTTGTTTGCTGCATAATGTTTCGCACTTCCCGCACTGAATTGCCACCAGATATCATATCATCCACATAGAAGTCTCGAAGAACGACCTTTGAACCCAGGGGATATGCTGATGATTCATCAAACGCGAGCTGATGCATGGCCCGAATAGCCAGAAATGATGCAGGCTTAGTTCCATAGGTCACCGTATTCAACTTGTACACGCGTAGGTCATCTTGTGGAGAGTCACGCCATAGTATACACTGGAGCATGTCGTCTGGTGCAGTGACTCGAACGCATCTATACATTTTGCAGATGTCTCCAGTAAGTGCGACGGGAAACGATCGAAATCTAATGAGGATGTTGAAAAGCTTCGGTTGTATTGTTGGACCTGACATGAGCAGATCGTTCAGCGACAAGCCCGAAGTTGTAGCTGCAGAGCCATCAAATACAACTCTCAGCTTTGTTGTAGTGCTGTCATCCTTGATGACACAGTGATGTGGAAGGAAAAACTTACAGTCATGAACATCCTTACTGGAGACTAGTGACATGTGGTTGAGATCCAAATATTCGTTAATGAATGCCACATATTGTTCCTTGAGCTGTGGATTGCGAGTCAGTTTTCGTTCAAGACTGCGAAAGCGATGTAGTGCCTGTAAATACGAATCACCTAGTGACTCCACGCTACTCTTCATCGGCAGACGCACGGAATACTCGCCTGAAGACAGACGCGAATAATTTTGCCTAAAGTGCTCTTCGCAGTCGAGCTCTTCCTTTGTTGTTTTAGCGATTGGCTCAATTACATGGTCGATTTCCCAAAAACGACGCACTAAATAATCTAGCCGAGTACTACAATCAATGTCAGTAGATGACCGTTGACGTGCGACGAAAGATGAGAGTTTGGGCGTTTGTTGTCCACCACCGGACAGCACCCAACCAAACCGAGTTTTTTGAAGCAATGGCAGCCCAGGCGCCAACTGAATTTGGCCCACACAGAGAAGTTCGAAGAAGAGTCCTGCTCCTATAAGCAGATCAATACGCTGTGGTATGTTGAAGTTGGGATCAGCCAGCTGGATGTTGGAGGGAAGTCGCCAATTAACGGTGCTCACTGTAAGGCCAGGTTGACTTTCAGTGATCGTTTGTGCGACAACAGCAGTAATCGTCGTCGAGAAATCAGAAGTCCGCGACTTCAGTACGAGATCGACCGAGTATCCCTCCGTTGAAAAGTTGACGTCGCCAATGCCAGATACTCCAGCGAAGGTTTTGGTTTTGCGCAGCTGCAGCTGGTTTGTGAAACGAGAGGTGATAAAGTGCAGCTGTGAACCAGAGTCTAACAGCGCACGACAAGGTACGAAAGTGCCGGCACGATTTTTTACAAAAATTACCGCAGTGGCTAGAAGCACAACATCAGATGGAGAAGTAAGGGCCTGGGACGAGGCAGATAAGGCTGCAGTCATGGCATTAGGTTGGGCTGTAGCGGATTTCAAAGTTAAGCCTTGAGGGCTGGTGGCAGTTGGAGCAGAGCGCTCAAAGTGCAAAAGTGTATGGTGCTTTGCTTGACAGTTACGACAAGACCCCGATTTGCAGTCGCGCATCTGATGACCTTTTTTTTAGAAAATTGAGACATAGAGCGAGTTGTTTAACCTCGTTTTGGCGGAGGTTTGGCGACAGATTTGTAAAGCGAGGACAATGGTATATCAGATGCTCATGGGATCCACAAAATACGCAACCGCCCACTGAGCCACCAGAAGCAACAAATGATTTTCTTTGGTTGGTACTCACGTTTTTACCAGATTTACCAGCTTGACCAACTGGTGTTTGCATAACGTGTTCGACGTTTTCGAGCGTTCTACAGCGCTTCTCCAGAAAGGTAGATAACTGGTCCCACGAAGGTAGTTCGTTTGTCGGCGAATTCTCCTCCCATTTGGATTGAGTCGCTTTGTCTAACTTCTGTATTAGCAGTTGTACAATGATACAGTCGGATATTTGCTCCTTGGACCCAAGCGATTGCAGTGCACGTATGTGAGCGGTGACTTTGTCAGTTAGTTCTCGTAGCCTGCCTACTGACCCATCTGCTTTGCCCAGCCCGAAGATCTCCCTGATGTGTGCCTGAAATATAAGACGCTTGTTATCAAAACGCTTATGCAAAAGATCTAATGCATTTTTATAATTAGCCTCATTTATTTCTAGAGAACGTATGGTATCCAGCGCTGCACCACTCAGGCAGGAACGTAGATGTTGAAGCTTGTCGACCGGCGTAAGGTCGCTATCCTTGTCGATGACAGATACGAACATGGAGAAGAAGTTTGTCCACTCAGTATAGGCACCAGTGAACTTTGGCAGTGTAAGTAACGGCAAGCGTGATCGGTTGGTGTTCACTATAATTGATTGCGACTCATTGGCGTTAACCCTGAATGTGGAGCATAGCTGAGGTGCACTACGCTTTCCAATTTCACGCTGCAGAGTGGATCTGAGGTTAACTAAAGTGGAGTCGAATTTACCAGGTAGATCGCTGCAAATTGAATCAAAATCCAATTCCTCCAAGCTTGTGTGCGCACCGTTGAAACTTGACTTCAGTTCCCCCAATGAGTCCAGTAGTGCCGTCAGAGCGTATTCGTCCATCCCGTGCAGCTTATCACTGTCCATCTCGGCAGCTATTCGCTCAAGCCGGTTGAATATTGCTTTTGTTTTTAACTTAAAAAAGCTAACTCGATCTGTGGCCACCTGTTCATTTGATTGAGCAGCATTTTCGCTACCTGGAGTACCATTAGCTGGGTTAAGTGTCATGATGGATTCAAGTCGAATTTATATCGGCAGCGCGTGATGTGTACTACACTCGGGAAAAATCGTAACTGGAAACCGTTACGTGGGAAATGAACAGAAATAGCGGCTCACAAAATATGCTGAAGACGTAAGCTAACAGTTTAACTGTTTCAAGATCACGCTACAAGTTTCACAAAGTTCCGTGCTCTTGAATAACGGATTCAAATTTTCGGCTATAGGCGTATACGAGTATATTATTATGTACAAAGCGTTATGCACACAGTTTAATCTCCCAAATATCGAAAAGTACAATTCCACCAAAAAACGCACGGCGATCACGTCGGGGTCACCAAATGTTGAGCTGCAAAGCTTTTTTTGCAGCTATTGAACTTCAAATTAACAAGAAAAGGTCAACACCTTTGATTTCTTGAAACAACTTAATTTTTATTTAATTTTTGATTTCGAATTCTAAACGATGATGTTGCCTACCTGGCGGTAGGTATAAAACGCCCCCCTAATCCAGGGTGTCATGCGTCACCGTGCCCATTGGATGGTTTGCAGTCAGGGGGTTTTCCGACTGTATTCTAACGGCGCCTCCCGGATACCTGTCCGCCTCCGGGAGTAACGGTGGACTTACCTCAGCATGGGGCTCTGCTGAGGCCGACCGTTTTTCCCCTTACCCATATTTTCGGTCGCCGAACGGTTTCGGCTCAGTAGGCGACCAACGAACCAGAAATGATGAACTCAAAAAATGTAGCCCCGGATCCCTGCACGGGTAAAAATGCCGCCGACGGACACGGCGTTAAAGTCTGTCTAAAAACGACATCTTCGGTAGCCGCTGGAGCGGTCCCGAAGGAGCCTAAACGGCTAACAATACTAAATGTTGCGCCCGGCGTCAGTAGCAACAAACCCCTGGTGGGTAGTGGTCAACTGGCGTCTGGGTTGCAAGCGGAGCCTGCACGGCCAATTGACCTCTCGTGCCAGTCGTCCACATCTCTGGAAGCTGCGAGTACACCCCTTGAGGGCAGCTCCAAAGCGGCGCCGGGAGAAGGCGATACTGGCACCCGGAAGTCCTGCACGGACAGCACCACCGACCGCAAGCCCCTTGAGGGTAGGAAGTCGGATCAACGCAAAGGCGTCCCAGGTCCCAGTGGTTCGAGGACCAAAAAAGAAGTCCGACCAGCAGTCAGGGCGAAAAGGGACAGAAGAGCCGCTTCTAGACTACTGAGGAAGTTCGGCAATGACCCGGTTCCCGAGAGTATGAGGGAAGTGGTTGAGAGGGCGAGGGGCGTTCTCTCCGAAAGTCGTGAGCGACCTCAGGAAGGAAATGCCGCCAACAAACCTGCACCCACTCACTCTCGTCCTAGGGAGCTGGGCAGCAAAAGGCAAAGGTCAGCAGATAACGTGGATGCTGCTCCTAAGAGGCCCAAAACCTCTAACGCTAACAGCCCTCTTAACCCTCCAAGGGCTCTGAGGGCTTTCAGTGATGTGGCCAAGGACCACTTGATCCTGGCGGTTATGGATAGGGGGCACCCGGAAGGAAACCTGACGGCCGACAACTGGAGGTCCGTCCTGGTGGGTCTCTGCCGGGTGTACAAGGAGATTCTCCGGAAAAATCCTGGCCCTGCGCCAACTGTCCGCGATGCTGGTCTCTACCAAGGCCGCATCAAATTAGTTTCCTGCGCTGATGAACGGTCGGCGCGACTTTATAAGGAAGCAATTTCTTCTCTTGGGGAACTGTGGCCCAGCGCTGACTTGGTGGCAGTGCACAGGGATGAAATCCCTTGTAAGCCGCGAGCCAGAGCCTGGGTCCCAGAGGAACCCTCGAGTCCTGAGGAGATTCTGGATATCATCCAGGTCTCAAATGATGCACTACCAGCCCTTGATTGGAAAGTAGTGAAGGTCAGCGAGGTTAGGGAGCAGCAGCGTTACATCACCTTGGTGATAAACGAGGAGTCTCTCCCGATCCTTGCTGACTGCAAGGGAGTAATTAGCTACGGCTTTTACTCCATTACCCTCAAAACCCAAAAAGGGAATGAGGGTAAAATGATAGAGCCGGGGAACACCGAGGGTGAACCCGAGGCTGGCAATCTTCCGCCTAAAGGCGGCCCTATATCTGGAGCAGAAAACGCCTTGAGCGGTCCTGCTTCTAACCAAGAGGTCCAGGAGGTTCTCGAGGCCACTTGCCCGGTGGTAAGGTCAGACTCGGCAGCGGAAACAGATAGCGATACGCAATCTGTTTCTGGTGACGGATCGGTACTTAACCGGTGGACGAGGGAGTTCGGGAACCTGCTTCTGACGTCGGACTCAGAGGACGCCGATGATACCATCGTTGAGGCGTTCGATAGAACCCCGCCAGAAGTGATGGACGGGGACGATATTTTATAAGCTGTGGATGAAGGTTCTACAAATAAACCTTCATCACTCTAAAGCAGCTTCTGCAGCTCTGCTCCTGCACCTCAGTGATAGAGGGGAGGAGCTAGTTTTTGTCCAAGAGCCCTGGGTTGTTAAGCACAGGGTTTGTGGACTTAATTCTGATGCTTACCGCATAGTGTCGGCACCTGTGGCAGGTAAGATCAGGGCATGTATATTAATCAAAAAAAGTATTTCTTATAATTTACTCACACAGTTCAGCGATGAAGATACGGTGAGCATCTCTGTGGAAAGCCAATCCACAACACTCTGGCTGGTCAGTACATACATGGCCTACGATCGCCAAGACTGCCCTCCCGCTCGGTTACTGGACGTGGTGAAAGAGGCCAACTCGAGGAAGTTTCCCATAGTCATAGGAGCCGATGCGAATGCGCATCACGCGGTATGGGGATCTACCGACATCAACCCGAGGGGTGAGTTGTTACTTGATTTTATATTATTATATAATCTAGCCATCTGTAATATTGGTGATAAACCCACTTTTGTAACCTCAAATAGGAAGGAGGTATTAGATATTACCTTATCGTCTAGCGCTTTCTTTGAGAGTATTAGGGAGTGGAAGGTACTGAGCGACCATTCATTCTCTGATCACATGTATCTCTCATTTGTAATCTCCTTTGAACTTCCGGCCTCGGTTGCTTACAGAAACAAGAGACGTACTGACTGGACTAAGTTTAGGAAAGTACTCTCGGGGAATTTGCTCAACAAGGCTTCTCTCAGTAAGCTAGGCTTACTGTCTCCACCTGATGAAGCGGAGCTTTCTCTCGCAAACCTTGCTTCTCTCGGTGAGTTAGGCTCATCGGAACAAATTGAAGAAGCCGTTGATTGCATTACCGAAGCCTGTAATTCGGCCTTATCTGCGTCCTGCCCACTTGTACTTCCGAGAGGAAAGAAGAAGCCACACTGGTGGAGCAAAGAAATCGCCTCTCTAAGGAAGGAAAGCAGGATACTCTTTAATGCGGCAAAGCGCGATGGTTCTTGGGCTGCATATAAGGCAGCCCTGAAGAAATTCAAAAATGCCACCAGGAAAGCCCAAAGGGACTCCTGGAAGGATTACTGCGATAGCATAGAGGGTCAGTCGGAGGGAAATCGCCTGCGAAAGGTGCTCGCGAAAAGTCCGACGAACCCGATGTATATTCAGAAACCAAATGGTGACTGGACGTCATCTCGTGAGGAAATGCTTGAAGTCCTAATGAACGCGCATTTTCCAGGATGTACTGCGGAGCCCAACACCGCGGCTATTATCTCTGAACGGCCGTTGACTTCAGCGGACTTCATTGATGTACAAAGGGTAGACTGGGCCATAAAGTCCTTCCAGCCCTACAAATCTCCAGGTATGGATGGTATCTTCCCTGCCCAACTTCAGTCAGCATCTGACGTGTTATGTCCGATACTTGTCTTAATCTATAAGGCTTGTATCAAGCTTAGTTTCATACCCAAGGGTTGGACCCTGGCGAAAGTTGTTTTTATTCCCAAGGGAGGTAGACCCTCCCACGTTAAACCAAGTGACTTTCGACCGATAAGCCTTACTTCTTTCTTTCTCAAGGTTCTGGAAAGACTTGTAGACTTGCAGATCCGACAGGAAATTGATGTAAATAATCTCTCTAGCTGTCAGCACGCCTACTGGAAAGGTAGATCTGTGGATACAGCTTTGCATAGTATTGTCAGCACCATTGAAAAGACTCTCGCTTTTAAGGAATTTGCACTAGGCGTGTTCCTGGACATCGAGGGTGCCTTCAATAATGTTCTCCCGGGAGCGGTCCTTCAAGCCCTAGCTCGCCTTGGGCTGGATCACCCTATGGTTGAGTTTGTTCGTCGCCTCTTAGGCAGTAGAACTATTTACTCGGAGATGGGGGAGGTATCTATAACAAGATATGCGAGTCGCGGAACCCCACAAGGCGGTGTTCTCTCCCCACTTCTTTGGAATCTAACTGTGGATACCCTGCTGTCACGGTTGCAAGGCACAGGTTGCCAAGTCATTGCTTACGCGGATGATCTTGCCCTGACGGCAATTGGTAAGCACCCCCAAGTTCTATGTGACTTAGTTCAAGGCGCCTTACGCGTCGTGGATACCTGGTCCAAAGAAGTAGGAGTTAGTGTCAATCCGGCAAAAACGGCCATGGTTCTGTTTTCAAAGAAAACGAAAGCTGTCCGGCTACAACCTCCTTCCTTGAACGGTATCGTACTGACTTTCTCGGAGGAGGTTAGATATCTGGGCGTTATTCTTGACAGAAAGTTAACTTGGCGGCGCAATATAGAAGAGCGCTGCAAGAAAGCTATAACTGCTATGTATGCCTGTAAATCGGCGATTGGGAAAAAATGGGGATTGAAGCCTCATATTGTGAACTGGATGTACACAGCGGTTGTGCGTCCCATTCTATTCTACGGCATAACGGTTTGGTGGCCGTCCGTAGATAAATCTACAATAAGAAACAAATTAACAGCGGTCCAAAGGGTGGCGTGCATGATGATCACGGGAGCGTTACCATCGACGCCGACTAAAGCCCTAGAGACCTTGCTTCACTTGCTACCTGTGGACCTATATGGTAAACTGCAGGCAAGCTGTAATGCTATTAGATTAAATGCGCTAATCAAATGGAGTGACACGAGGTTTGGGCACTCTAGGATCTTGGAAAATCTTCCAGATGACTTTAGGCGCCTGGACTACACAGTCCCGTCTACGGGACTAAAGAATTATTTCCGGACAAGGATCCCCTCAAGGGAAGAATGGGAGGAGGATTCGGTCCTGATATCGTATTCTGACTCAACAGCCATCTACACTGATGGCTCCAAGTTGGATCTGAAGGTAGGAAGTGGGGTATACTCGCAAGAACTCTCACTTAGCCTCAGTTTCCGTCTGCCAGATCTATGCAGCGTTTTTC